CCGCCACTGCCCCCCGCCGGAGGGAAAAGCTGGACGCGGCGGCGCGGCGCGCGCTCGCCCTGGCTGCGGCTCTCTTGGCCGCCCGGCCCCTTCTTGCCCGGCGGCGATTGCGCCTCGTCGTCGCCGCCCCCCTCACCGCCGCCGCCGCCGCCGCTCTTGAGCGGCGAGCCCAGGATCACCGCCTTTTGCGCCGGCAGCGGCTGCACCACAGGGCACGCCGCGGCCACAAAGATGGGGTGGTGGACGTCGACGACGCCGCCGCCCAGCGGCCCCTCACGCCGCACCTCAGTCACGCGCAGGGCCAGCATGTACCGCCCCTTGGGGGGCCAGCCGCCCACCGTGAGCGGCGTCGGCGCGTGCCCTGCGCCCGCAGCGGCGCGCGCGTCGTTCGGCAATGGCGCGTCAACTGCCTCGGCGCGCCCCATTATGACGCCCGAGGCGGGATCCACGAGCAGCACCGGCGTGCCGGTGGTCAGGCCCAGCCGCCACTCGAGCAGCTGCCTCTGCGACGTCAGCCAGGCCTCGCCGGCGCTGGGAGCAGAAGCTGCGGCGGCCGTAGCGGCCGCGGCGGGCGCCGGCGTTGGCGCCGGTGGGGCGCCAGCGCCGGCGCTGCTGCTGCTCGTGCTCGCCCCGCCGCCTGCCGCTGCGCGGCTGGCCGCCGTGCTCGCGCCGCTACCGCTTGCGCCGTCGTCGCCGCCGCTGCTGCTGCTGCCGCCGCCAGCGCGAGAAACGGGGACGACCGCCGCAGGTGGCGCAGGGTCGCTGCCGTACGCGCCAGTGCGCGGCTGCCCGCGCAGCTCCTGTCGCGCAACAAGGAAGGACGAGCGGACGTATGAGAGGCAATCAAGCAGAGGGCGACCACCACCACATTGGCAGCGGCTCAGGAGGGGGGGATTGGGCGCAATTGCACAGAAAACAACGCGCGAGGACAAAACAAAAGCCAGCCACGCATGCCCATGCGCCTCGCGCCCGCCTGCATGCAAGGGCACACACCCTGCTGCACTTGCGGTTGCATGCGTAGGCACGCGCAATGCAGCAAGCAAGCCCCGCCGGGCGGGGGTCCGTCGTCATGGCAATCACTGCCTCCCAGCCTGGGTGCTGCCGCTGGACCCTCTGGCCATCCCCTGCTGATGGTGCTCACCGTCACTTGAATGTTCCCGAATACGCGCGCCGCCCCACCGTTGCACAGGGAGTGCAGCCCCGAGTTCCCGTCCGGCAGGGGGTCTTTGCGCAGTGCGAGCGTGAGGAGCACGTTCCAGCCCCGCGCGCCATCCTTGTGCGGCAGGAACAGGAGCCGCGCCTCGACCAGGTAGAACCCCTGCACTTTTACGCCGCGGCTGCGACTGCCGCCGCCGCCGCCGCCGCCCCCACCTCCACCTCCGCGGCGCTGCTGCTGCTGCTGCTGCTGCTGCTGCTGCTGCCGCCGCTGCTGCTGCTGCTGGGTTAGCCACGGCAGCGGCGCGGAGTCATTTATCACCACTACGTCAGCAGCTCCCACCAGCTGATCGACCATGGCCCCGCTCTGCAGATACCAGGGGGCGCGCGGCAGAGGGGCAGTGAGCGAGCGCCGTGGGATTACCGCATGCGGGCGTGCACGGGCGGCGCGAGCTCGCATCTCGACGCGGTCAAGCCCAGCCGCACACAGTCGGTGGTAATGAAAGCCCAGGCCCATCCCCCTCCCCACAGAAATCATTGTTGTGCGTGGCGCGCTAGACGCGCGGCTGTCCCAGGTGGAAGGGGCCCTCCTGCTACACACCCACCATCCGGTTGGGGATGGCCCCGCCTCCAATCTCTCCGAGGGCGCAGCGGCGGAAGAGCTCATTGGCCAGCGCGCCCGCGCTGATTGTATTCTCGAGCGAGTAGGGGCGCGCGGACCTGATGTGCTCCACCAGCAGCCGGAGGCACTAGGATGAGCGAGACGGCGCGGCGGGCGGAGG